AAGGAAGCTTGATTAAAACAACTGCAGGCTGCAGCCTTCCTTTCTGCTCAGGGTGGGAGGTGTCCTCCGGGTACTGAGACTGACAGAGATGCTGCTGTGTGCCCTTCCAGGGGTTAGAGTACTGGAAAAATCCTGTTGACTCACTCAGACCAGACAACTGAAAGATCTGAGCTGAGAAACTATGTCTCAATAGGTGCTTAACCAACTTCTAGTATCCCCATGCAGAACTGAAAAGCTTCTCAGTGGAACCAATTACACTTGTTAGACTTGACAAAGTCAGTTTTTATATTGCTGAAAAAAATACCAATGGGACTTTAATTTCTTCCCACAACTATTTGTTTATGATACTAGAAAACTTCATCCAGGTTTGTTTACACCCAGCAGCTCAAGTACAGTGAGAGAGTTATCAGTAATCGGAAAAACAGCAGCAGGTTTAGCTGGGGAAGTTTTCCTCCTGTGTTTTTCAGCCTCTGTAGGGGCTAGGTGTGAACACCTTCGTGGCTGATGTTATTTGCAGTAGGACTTCAATCAGCTTCCAAAAGCTGAAGCCGAAAGGGAAGGGTCCCTTTTGGAGCTGGTCTTTCCTATGCTACTTTCAGTACAAGCATCAGAATGTGCCGTGATTGCTCTTGAAAGCAATTAACTAATCAAACCTCCAATCTTGTTTTGGTTTATCGTCACTGAGAACAAGTCGATTCTGTCCTGAGATAGCAGTTCTTTCCCAAAAAGTCAAATTTTGCTTTCATTACTACCTCCTCAGTCTGTTCTGTGCCTTTCCCACCAGTGACGAGGATGTTTGCAGGAGCAGGAAGATGCAGTTTAAGCCAAGTGTTCAGGAGCTTCTGCATCAGTGGTCACTTCTTTATACCTTGCCAGTGTAAGTCAGYGCATTGGGGATGCATGTGAGTTTGTGCAAAGGCAGCATATCTGCTGAGCAAGTCTTTGGGGTTTGGGGACAGAAACGTGGTACTCTGTAGGGAATCAGACTTTGGCCTGTGAAATGGAGCGATGGGAAAAGGTTGTTGTAAAATCCACCAGAATGCCTGTGCCTCTGTGTGGGAATTGATGTTCTGTGAGGAGCCAGATCCCTCGCTTGTAAATCAGTTCAGCTTGTAATATCTGTCAAGTGTTTGGGGACACCTGGGTATCTGATGCTGTATAAATGTCAGTTGTTATTACAGTTTCTTGTTCAGATTATTGATTTCTCCCCTGCTGTTCTCATTGGGATGGAGAGATTTGAGGTTTCTGGTAGATCAGCTAGCATGAGAAACTCTTGCTCCTCCAGCTTGTCTTGGATGCACTGTACTTGAAACCAATGTGCAAATGCAGGGCACTTGGCCTGTCTCCTGATTGGGTCTGTTTTTCCAGTTGGTGTAAACTGACTTCACAGTTGTAGCAGGGGATGATGATCTGCAAAGCGGAAGGTCTGGCTCGTATTTTTAGTTAGTATCACATACTTGCCTGGAAGCTCTCCCTGGATCAGTGTCACTGTGCCAGGTGCTTTGGAAGCGCTGCAGAACAGAGATGTCAGGGCCCAAAGAACTCGGGCAGCACTGCAATCAGAGGTGACTGCTGCTTGAATCTAACCTGCTCAATTATTTTGGTAGTATTGCCCAGGTAAGCCTTAAAACCAACGCATCCAAACCCAAATCTGCTAGCTGTACTCAAGCCAGCTGATTTTAAACCCTTATAGTATGTCAGCACCAGTTGCAGCTCTGTCCTGTAGTGCAGTGCAGACCTGCCTAGCTATGCTCAGAATTGTAAATACTGTTATATAATTTGACCAGGCTAAAGAGCAGGTTAGTGTCAGAGATGGGAGCAGAAATCATATTTCACAGCTCGTAGGCTAGTGTCTTGTCTGCTTCATTTGTACTTCATCTGTGCTTCCGAGCAGGCCATAACAAATGCTAAATGGTTCTCAAAGGCCATGTGGTTCTTTCATTCTTGGCAGGGAACTTGATATCAGTATGGGGAGGACAGGAAAGAGAAGCAATTTTCACCTAAATGTGAATGAGAGACTTTTATGGGTTTCTTCTCCCTCTCTTTGTGTGCAGTGGGAGCACGGGGCAATAAATTGGAGGATTTTATATCTTGCAAAAAAGCTGACATGGCTAAAATATCACATTATTGCAAGCTGCCATAAATGAGAGCCTTCAAAGAGCCACAGCTGGACTCTGAATGTGGAGGCAAAGTGATTACTGGAAGCCATCAGCTGGCACTGGGAAAACTGTGGGAAAGTCAGTAATTTATTAGCACTAGTTTCTGCATTATCTGGTATCCTAAAGAGATTCCCTCACTGCTCAACTAAGCAGTGCTTTCCRTTATGCTGAGCCACAGATTGTCTTCCCCGTTTATACTCCCTGCTTAAAGCGCTGCCATGTGAGCAGAGTGAGACTAGGTATAAAACATGCCAAAGGTGCTGTAATCTCAGCTCATAGCTTGTTTAAAACATTGCTGCTCTCCTCCCTTTCTGTGCTTCCAAGGAGCTATCGTGAGTCTCAAGTTATTAGTGAAAGCCAAGCAAGCTGCTTAAAGGAGCTGCAGACAGTCATTTGCTCTAGTACATCTGCGTTCCTCTAGTAAAAACCATTGCAGTGGTGAATTAAATCCCGAAAATGCAGCAATGCCCCCCATCCAGGCCACGCTGCTGTTCTGAGGAGAGGCAGGTATTGCTGTATCTTATGGCAAGAGGCTTTTTAAGTGTGCTGAGGACTCCTGCTTTTGCCCATGTTGTCTGCATCAAATTGAGGAGCCAGGGATGCCGCCTGCACAACTGCCATGTACTGACTGCTGTACCCATGCAGGTAGTCTGAGCAGGTACCAGTACATGCTGTCCAATGCAAGGGAAATGCAGAGTATTTGCACCAGCTATACGTTAGTTTGTGTGCTATTTGGCTGCTAAATTTGGGGTTGTGCTTTTTAATGCAGCCATTAATAAAGTTCTTGGTATCTACAAGTACTCTGCGAACTGATAGAAGCAGTTTAGGGATGGGAACTTCCCCAAGATAAAGATCTGAAGCAGATAAAGATAAGATCCCTGTGTGTTCAGAGCATGAGAAGAAAGTACCTGCTCTCATGGTGAAGCACATGCAGAGTCAGCTGGAAAATGCAGAAGGTGAATTAAAGAATTCAGAGAGGTTTCCCCAGGCCTGCTCTGCCCTTGGAGGTGGAGGGAGGAATGCGGGGCACTGTGTCTCGAGTGGGCAAGTCTGGGTTTGTGCTGGGGCAGGTGCCTCCTATTCGAGGAAGAAAAACTCCTGAACAGTTCAGACTGGTGAATATTACTCGGAAAATTACCTGTGCTCCGGCTGCTGCCCTTGGTGCCAGCGTGTGCTTCTAACCCTGCCTCTTGCCTTCGGTCTTCCATCCTGCTATCAGCAGATGAGAGAGCAGGGCAGGAGGCTGGAGAGAAAAAGCTTGTTAACAAAATTCAATTAAACATTTAGTATCTGTGCTGCTGTTCCTTTGTACTGAGCATACACGACAGGGTAATTGATGTCCTGAAATTAGAATCCATATGAATTAGCTTGGCGCTAATGCATCATTTCCTAATAATATAGACAAGATGTTTCAAGGAGTGATGATAAGGACAGCCCTTTCCTATATATTCTACTTTACCTGCTGGGTAATTATCTAGTTATATTCTACTAGTGAAAGAGAAGAGTTTCTATTTCTTTCCCCAGCCCCCAATGTAATGGAACAAGAGCTGTTTGGAGGCTGTCATGTAAAACAAGGACCTGAAATTGGTGACACAGGGACTTCTATGCTGATACCACAGTGTTCACCAGTGAGATGCACAGTTGGTTTGGAAACAGTGGTGGTGTTTTGTGTGGCAGCTTCGTGCGGAGATTTGGGGTCATAAATGCGGGTGTTGCTTTCTCTTGTTTTGGGAGTAAGAAACTTCTCACTTGTCGTGAGCATAAGTGTGAGAGCATAGGTGAGCATAGGAGAGAGCATAAGTGTGTGTAGCTGCTATGGGACCGCTCCCTTTGCTGATGCTCCCATGTGTTAGCTTGTGCAATTACTCATACCTTAAATAGATGGCTTTAAATTTCCTTGTTAAGTGGTGTGTTTGCTTCCAAAATTCCTTAGAAAAGTCTCCTTSCTCTCCTGTGCTTTGCACAGCACTAAGCATAGGGCTGATAACTAGCTGTGAAATGCTCTGTGTTCTTGCTCTGCCTGTGTTCTGCCCTGTGCTGCTCTGTGACATGAGGTCTCTCCTTGCCTGTGCAGAAGATCTTGTGTAATTTTGGAGGCAGTGTTTTTGTATAAAGTTAAGGCGGTGCTTAAATGCTTTCCTGGATGGAGCCTCCTTGTGCTCTAACAGTAGGTAAAGAGCAGCTTCATGTGAAATTCTGCTCTGGTTTCCTGCATCGTGGCTCTTCCACATGCATTTCCAGAAGGTTTCTTGTTGCATTTCTGTTTAACTCTCGCATGCCAGTCGTGAGCTGCAGTCGTGCTGGTGCATCTTATATTACACAGCCAATTTATTGCTTCCTGGAGATGAAATACACATTATCCAGATATTCGGATGGTGGGCAGGGGAGGGAACAGAATTCCCAAATGCATGAGCGCCTGCAAGGGGAGCTGGGGGGAAACGGCTCGCGGGAGCCTTCCTCAATTGCTTAACCTCATGCCCTCTCAGCAGCGATGGAGTGAGAAATGAGGCCCCCGGCGCTGTGACCTTGCTGGGGGTTGTTGTTGTCACCACCTTGAGTGCAGTAAGAGGGGAGAAAAAACCTCCTGCCTGTCAGGCGCTGTTTAAGTGCCTGGTGTCACCGTGCTGTGTGACAGCAGTGACAACTGCTGGACAGCCTGTTGACACCATTAATAAAACCTCCTAGATAGACCTTGAGCTTACTCTGCCCTCATCAGAGCAAAACTCGCTTATTTATACTTCRTATTTTTTCTTTAGTATCTTAGTTTTGTATTTGTATAACCTTTTTARACCATTTAGTAGGTTTTTTTTGCTGTAATTGCAGTGCATCTCGTTTCGCCCTGGGAGAGAAGGGTCCTGTTGTCCCAGCCACGGGCACGCAGAGCATCGCAGCCTTATGCTCCGAGCACGTCGTCCAGGCAAAGGGAAAGCTGCAGTCGGAAGCAGACCGGGAATTTTCCAAAGTTGCAAAGAAGGTGCACAGCAGAGCTGRGACTTCAGAATAAGAAATGAGTGTTGGTGCTGTGAATTCAGATGAAATATGAATGTGTTTAGKCAGTAATTGATGCCCTGTGTAGCCTGTTGTTGCGTACGATGGGAGGGATGAATCCTATGTTTTTTAGCTGTTTTACAAGACATGGTCCATCCATAGTGATGGTGAAGGAAAGCTTGTTGGCAAGGTGTTTCAGGACAAGGACTTAATTACTTATCAATTTATAAATTGAAAAGACTTCTTTTTTATATAAAACCTCGGGTAGTTTTAGGTGGCTGAAATATAAAAACAGCAAGAGAAAAAAAGCATTGAACCCAGTTGTAGCCAGAGAAGGATGACTGCACAAGTAACGGGATAGTTTAGCTTCTGGAGATGAGGATTAGTTGAGAACACAGATATAGAGATGGCCTGTTGGGGTGGTTGTGGATGTGTTGTGAGCCATGTGAACACCTCCTGTTGCTCTTGCTCAGCAATATATTCTGTGTAATTGCTTCTGAAACAGGCGTAGCAGAGAAGGGATGTGAATCCTGAGACTGATAAACCCTAACTGTGCTGTCAGAAGAGTTCAATTGCATCGCTACTCCTGGAATATCAGGGTTCACGTGCTCCTCTCTTTCTGTGATGTTATTTATTGATGTAATCTGAAGAGAGGACGACTCAGGTAATAATTCGTCCCGTGAAGCTTCTTAGTGCAGCTGAGATGAATTATCATCCTTCAATAGCCATTGGTTATTGGTCAGATATTTCAGTCCAATCTCTTGAACTAAAAGCAATGGCAGAGTTGCACCTTTTGGCTTTCCCAGGAGCAGTGTAGAGCACTGTGGCTTTCTGAAGCCTGTCTTTGCAGGCCAGGCTCACTGCTGTTCATCTCGGGAGGATCAGAAGCAAAYAGTACGAGAGATGCTCTGTACTGAATGCTTAAAGGATGGCAGTAATTAAGAGATTGCTGTTTCTGCTGCTTGCACATGGGGCTGCCAGACAGAGCTGGCTCCAGTCAGCATCTTCCCATCAGCTCCACGCCCTTATCTTGGATTTCTAATGACATTGTGCCCATTCCTTTGCGTGCAATGGTCCACTTTAGCCAGGCAAAAGGGTTATCATTCTTGTGCTATTACTGATGACAGCATGAGATTTTTGGCCACCTGAAAATACTGTTTAGCTGATCACTTTGTAAGTTATTGGATTATGGTCAATTAAGGAGTTCCTCTTTTCTTTCCCCAGCAGATAAAAATGCATTTCCTTGCAGCTCATCTGAATGTAAAAATCAAATCCTGTTTGTGTGGTGTGAGCTAAGCATGAACTGACATGGGAAAGGTTAGATGAGAACAGTTGCTGCAAATGCCAAGTTTTGAAGCTGTTTTTTTTTCTTCTTTGAGGGCCTCATGTGAACACATTGAAAACCTTTAGTGCCTTTGGCTCCAGCTACAGAGGTATCTGCAAAGGAGCTGGTTCTTGGTGTCACTTGTGGGAAAACTGGTTTGGCAACATCACTATCAGCTCTTCCTGCAGAAAATGGAGCTTAAGCAGCAGGGCAGTGGAGAGCCTCTGCATGCTGAAGTCCCTCTGTGGAATCCCTTTTTGCAGGGATAAGGGGTGGTGAGGAGATAATTAATTGCGCAGTGTAAATTCCACCTGCCRTGCAGAGCGCCTAATGCCGGGGCACTGCAAATTCTTATACCTCTACAATTCTCTTTGCTTTCTTATCATCAGTATTTAATATTAGAACCGTCAAATGAGAATTTTATTCTTTTTACCTCCCCCTACTTGTTTCCACACTTGGATTAAAGGATTTTTTTTAAAATAAATAAAAATTTAAATTACATTTTATTTTCTTACCAGCTGCTAATTCCCTGAGACAGATTGGGAGATCAATTATCACAGCAGTGAATGAATCTAATTTTTCAATATAATTTACGGTAATTCCATATTCTCTGCCCAAGAAGCAAATAGCGCTGGCGTTTTTCCAAGCAGAGAGCTTAGAGAGAACAGCAGAGAGCCTCATACAGCAGCACGGTTTGGAGCACAACAAGCAAGACTCCCAGCTCCTCCTGCATCTTTATTGTTTTGTTTATTTTATGCCACCGAGGGATGCGAGCCTGCAGTGCGGCCRGGGGTTAACACGTGTTAAATGAGGGCGGTTGAAGGGGGCAGGATAGCAGGTCTGGCTGAGGAGCCGCTTCCATTGCCGAGTTRTTCTGGGAAGCTGCTCTGGTTTGGGTACCTGCGGTGGTGGCTTAGCCCCTGGGCAGACTGAGASCGCATTATCAGAGCACAGCCCCATGCGGGAGTCACCCTGGGCCCTGACTTGTGCTGTGGGTGGTCACAGGGCTTGGTGGCAGCTCTGTGACCTGCGCTTGCTCYGGATGTACGTCCCAGTGTCGTGGAGTCGTTGCTGGGCACTTTCTGCCTCGTTTGGAGGAGGGAACTGAAGCAGGAGAGCTCCTTACCAGAGGCCTGACTTGGCTTGCCAGCCTTGCTGCACCCAGTGTCAGGAAAAGCTTTATCCTGATTGCAAAATCCCAGGAAAACTTTAAATATACCCATTCARTCTTTACTGGTAGCACTTCCTGGATGGCAGTCAGGTCAGAGCAGTTTGCCCGGAGGTTGAAGCTGGAGGTCCTCATCTTTGTTCCACACTCCAAGCACTTTCCAAGCCCTCATGCCATCTCTTGCGGGGTGCTCTTTAGCATGCGCTCCAAATGTTTGTAAATAATTAAAACCAATGGCATGTGTAAGGTCTGGGGGGAGACACAAAGGAGACTGCAATGCTTGTTCTGTTCACTTAAAAATTCAGTARCTAAATCTCACTTTAGATCTACCAGAAATACAAATAGTGCAATTAATTGGCAGTAATTTAGAAGCCCTCCATTTCAAAAGCCCTGGGATGTAGAGATGGGAAACAATCTATTAATGTTAGTAGTGCTTTGGCACGTGGTTCAAGATGCAAACAAGTTGGGGAGAGGTTTTGCTTACTGCTCTCACATGTTATTTGTGACTCAGAATAGTGACAATTTCTCTATGTTGTGTTGCAAATTCTTTCCTAAAGCTGACTGGATTGATAATTTTTTTCCTCCCTCATTTTCCCTAATACTAATGAAGGGGAGTTAAGGGAAGGATGGGCAGAATGGCCCTTGAATCTAGAAACTAGTTAAACTGTGGCACAAACACTTGGAGCCTGGGGGAGCACAGTGCCTGGAAGAGGCTACTTGACAAGTCACAGGGCTTTTTTTCTTGTTCACTGAGCAACTGCAGTTCTGTCTGTCCTTTCCCCCCTATCTGTTTATACAAKCTCAATTGTCTTTTGCACTGACTGTTACTTCCGAGCAGCTAGCTGCTGGTTTTAACTAATGATATTGTTCCTTTAGTTCAGCTCTGACTTGAACCCTGGAGGACCTTCTGTTGAATCTGACCTAAGAGCATCCAAGCGAGTCAAYGGCTTGACCAGGGAAAGTGATAGAGGAGAAGACGCATTCGTAATTCCTGGAGCAGCCCAGCATTCAGCACCCTTCTACCTGCTGTGTTGTAAGCTAGAAYGTTAAAGCCTGTGAGGGCTCCCTGGTGTTGGCTAATTTGGTGTAGAAGCAGCATCCTCCCATGGTTAGAGTTGCAAAGGTCATGGAGAATAGAGATATTTGGAGAAAACAGAAAGCGTTCTCACAAGGTAACTATTGATTATTGAATGAATTGATAAAGACAAGGCAGCAGAATGACACGTTGAAACTCCTTGGGGCTGAGCRGACCATTCTTCCTCAGTGCAGGCATCTACCAGGCATCGGAGGAGGACAACGGACGTGTTGCATGGAAATCTGCAGTGATCCCTGCTCACCCAGGCTTGGAAGTTGTTTCCAGAACAGCATTTCTGCATGTGGTCACACTGCATCAAAAGGCTGCTTGTTGTAAGGGCAAAGAAAAACCCTTTYGAGCTTTGTCATTAACAGTTGTGAGTATGAAAAGCTATTTCTCATCCCTGTGTTGAGCTATGAGCCCAGTCATAAAGGCTTGGATAAGGAGCTGAGTTATTGGTGTGACAGTATTGCTAGGGCTCTACAGAGTGACAAACTTGCCTTTTTCTCTTCCAGCTGTTACCCYTTAACCTTGTTCTGGCTATTACTTCAACTATGCACTGCAGGGGTTTTGAGCACCAATTTGGATGACACTAAATCGTGGACAGCAATTCTGTGTCATTGGAACAGCCTCCATGGAACCATAAACCACAAGTGTTCCTGATCTAAAATGTATTATAAAATGTGGGTACCAGCAGCCCACTCTTGTACAGAGGTAAGACCAAACTTGTCACTCCATCAAAGCTGCTTTGACTCACCTTGTCTGCTGTTTGAGAACAGTGTGAATAAGGATACTTTCTCCCACATACTTCTGTCTTGTAAGAATGCTGCGTACCTGCTCAGAAAAGCAAAATATTATAATATTTTAGTGGGGGTGGGAATGAAAGGCATGTTTATTTAGGTTTATATAAATGAGCATTTCCCTTGTAAGCTGTAAGAGAAGTTATGAGCAGGCACTGGCTTAAGTGGAAATTTAGAAGGTGGCTGGGGTGACTGCTTGTACCCGAGGTCCCGTGGGAGAGGTGCAGCTCTGGGTGGCTGCCTGCCTGCTGGGAGGAGCTGTGCTTGGAGTGCCCCTGTGCTGAGCATCGCTGCTGTGTCGAGGCACATTGGGTGCTTTGCGAGGATGGGTTTCCAGGAGCTGGTTGCAGTTTGCTGCTTGGGGAGTTTCCATAGTGGTGGGACCCCAACTGCAGGCACTACCTTGTTCTTAACAAATCTGGCCCAACTCTTTTGTTCTCTAGGTCTGGCAACTGGAAAGCTACACAGTTTTAGCAGGACAGAGGTTGACAAACTTGGATCTATTTTAGCAGGACAAAAGCTTTCCCTTTTGTTTTCCTCTTCCCCCTTTCCTTTAACCCAGTTTAATGATCAGCCCTGTTTGCCACTGTGCCCCCTGGCACACACAAAAGCTGGCTGCAGCAAATTTGAGAGAGGAACCAAATCGTTACACTCGAGGATTCTTTTAAGATCTTGAGGAAAACAGAAGGCCAAATGAGCATTAATTTACTTAGGCTTCTCTCCTGTAATGCAAGTAAATGAAGATAATGAAATTGAAATGGGCTGCTGCGTTGGCTGAAGTGTGTAGTTTGCCTGGTGCGTGACACCTCCCATCTGAGTTTCAGCTAGAGCTGTGAGGGCAATGCCCAAAARGACATAGCTAATGTTTAATTACGGGAGAGTTTTACTGCATTGGCCTATCCCGGAATTGTCTGCAATGTTTGAAGTTTGGCCTAAGACAGCAAGAGGAGGATCTTTTGGAATCTGGCCCCAGGCAAAGCACATCCTTTGATGTGATAGTGGTGGCCAGTAACTCTCATGCATAATCCACTATGTGTTCGTGCTGCCTGAGCCAATTTCCGTGTTGCTGTTTGAAACTGATTTTAGTTGAGGGGTAGGAACTGTTGCAAAAAAACACTAGGAGTCTAAAGATACAGTTAACACGTAGCTAATGGAAATTGCTGTTATAGTTTGTGTAAGTGCTAATTGCATCCCTGTTCCTTGCAAACTGCAATCACTTCA